GGAGGAGAGAGAGGGGAAGGAGGGGGAGGGAGAGGGGAAGGAGGAGGAGAGTGAAACTTGCAATCCTCCTGCCTCAGCCTTCCAAGTCACTGGGATTACAGGTATGCACCACCACATCTACCAAGAATACAATCTTTCAATGAGCAAAATGCTTGAACATACAGTTCTATGAAAGCAGTTATTAGGATATCAAATAAGTATATGCACAGGAACTCAAAATCGCTAGTCATTGGGGAAGTACAGATTAAAATCCATAATGAGCTTTTTGCATGCACACACTAGAATAGCTAATTTTTAAGAGATTGATAATACCAGGCATTGATGAAGACGGGAACGATTGGAAACTTTCCTTCAGTGCTGATGGGAATGCAAGGTGGCTTTTGTCAAACAGTTTGGGGTTCCCTAAAGAGAAATCCACATTTAGCCTATGACCCAGCAAGCCCACTTTCAGGTATTTTCCGGGGGAAAAATACACCCACACAAAACTTTTCTCTCCAACGTTCACAGCAGTTTTATTCATAGCCAATGACTAAAAAGAGCCCAAATGTCCCTCAGCCAGTGAGTGACTAGCTCAGTGGTGGCCCAGCTCCAGGACAGAGTGTTGTGGGCAGCCTGAGGACAGGAAGGTCCACTAGGACCAGAATATTCGGGAGTCTCAGGAGCCTCCTGTTCTGTGGGAGGAGGGTTGATCCCACCCACGGGAAACCTAGAAAAGACAAATAATAAGGACAGATGGCGATCCAGCGGCCGCCTTGCTGTGGTGACAGTTAACTGCCCACACGTGCATTGGAACTCCAACAAGATGTGCGTTGGCACAGCGTGGGCAGCATCCGTGCCCCTCCACGGAATGCAGGCCTGGAGCGGGTCACTTCTGTCCAACACGATGCCTCTCCATTTCCTCCTCCAGAGCCACCCGCCACTCAGCAGCTGGGTCTCAGCGGACGGCCTTGCTAAGCGTTGAGGTCACCTGACCCTCCCCTGGCGCTGCCAGAGGACGTAATCATGATGTATAACACCAAAGCCGTGATGAAACCACTTACCTGACTCACCAAGTGGTATCATGACAGAGTCTGCCCCAGAGGTGCGTCAGGGGAAGGGGAAGGAGGGCGTGTTTAGAAAGAGCGCCGAACACAAGCTCTAGCCTGATCCTGGAAGGGGCTTTATTCCTGTGCCAGTCTGTTCCAGGCTCTCAGGTGACATTGTTCCATTCCTCCCTTACACAACAGAGCTGCTCCGTAGGTCCTTTCTACAGATGAAGAGCTTGAGGGTCAGAGAGGAGGTGGACCCGAGGCCACACAGCAGGTGGAGGTTCCATCCAGACCTACCTGCTCGCAGGTGCTCCTGGGATCTCTTCTCCCAGTCTTGACTCACCAGGGGGTCACTTCCTGTACCCATTAGTCCTTCAGTGGCCCTTCTGCTCATGGGGTCCTCCGGCCTCTCTATGGAACACTCCTTATTAGTGTCTTGAAGAGTGTGGGAACCAGGCCAGAGGCCTCTGCTGACCCTGCTGTCTCCTTTCATTGCTGTGCTGGCTTTGTAGCAGTTACCCTCTCTGACAGTGCACAGCTGATACTTTTATCAGCGTACCCATGGACATCCCCACTTCCTGTCCTGGGTCTCACCTGTGCATAGGATGTAAGTTCCCTGCACCAAGGTCTGGATTGGGGTGGGGTGGGTTCATCTCTGTGCCCCTGGCACCTACACCAATCACATGCAACTGGTGTGATCACAAAGTTTTAGAAGGAACTTGCGAGGCCTTCATCCAACATGACACTTCATAAAAGAGGAAATTCACAGAGGGCCAGCTACTTCCCCAAATTCACACAGCAAGTTGGGGCAAAGCCAACTTTGGAATTCAATACTGAATTCCCTTGAGTCCCCACCAAGTAAGTGATGGGTCCTTCCGACACATGGCCCTTCCCTTTCAGGCCTAAGGAGACAAGAGGCATAAGGCTCAATCGAATCATGTCTTAATGTTTAACCTTTTTTAAATTTATTGACATGTAGTTGGTGGTAGTGAGGAGTTAGGGGGCATCTGGCCTAAGCCTTCAGTTGGTCTTCTGATGTCATCTCCAAGAGGATGGCGCACACTCACAGAGATGCAGAACGGGACAGCTTTACCCCGTGGCTGCTGCACAGCCCCAGCTGCCTCAGGCCCATGCTAAGACACTGCTTTATAAATCCCACGCTCCTGCGTTCAGCACAACGGCGCTCCAACAGACAGTGACTCGGGTGCCCATGTGTGTGGTCAGCTCTTATTCTGTTCAGTTTAAACACTCCCTAATTTGGGGTAACCCTTGTTTTGACATCTCTTTATTTTTTCCTGTGGAGCCACCAGGAGCCTCCGAGTGGGTGTGGCCTGGACCTCTCCAGTCCCTGCACCTGTTTGGTGTCTGCCTTCCTGGAGATGGATCCCCATGGTCCTTGCTTCCCGGGGCTCCGGCTCTCTGGAGAGCTGGGAGAGGAAGGCAGGCCTCTGAGGCGCGCTCTAACAGGACATGATGGATGGTTATGCAATGGGCTTATAAAACTTTATTTTGCATCTCTAGACAGCTTGGCCTGTCCCCGGTTGCGTGCTGTTCTGTGGATGACTTGGCATGAAACATCTCTGCAGGAAAAACAAGTCAAAGGCCTATGTCTCTGATGGCGAAATCGCCACTCACTCAGTGGGCAGCCCTGGGAAGTGGTGCCTGGTTATACCTGAGCCCCTGAATGACAGGGCGACATCCCACGTGCCAGAGCATGACACAGAGACTCCTTAAGGACGGAAATTTAGGAGTGTGTTGTCATGAACTCCAAATGTGGGTGAAGAGCCGAGAGAGAGGGGAAGAGAACTATTAGCCAAGCAGTGACTCAGGCGTGAGTGTGCACTTCTGTTACGAAGAAAAGATGGTTGAAGAAATCCTCAGGCTCATCACAGATACCGACATATGAAGTGTTCACTAATCCGGGTTAAGCTACAAATAGCTATTCAAGTGCAATTGGAAGACCTTGGGCAAATTGAGAGGGAAGGCTGGTTCCTTCACGTGGATCCAACCTTGAGATGGGTGAGCCTCAGCATTAGATCCTTGGATTAGTGGATTTTTTTCCTCTCAAAAAAAGAGAGTCTAGTCATTCACCAAAAGAACTCCTTACCTATACCTTGGAGTCCAGATCAGAAGGAGGGGAGTGTGATAGAGCACTTAAATTGTGAGTGACAGCTGCATCTCTTGATCTGGATGGAGAATAAAAAGGAGGGCGGGAAGCGGCTCAATGGAGCACTGGCTCAGCCGCACAGGTCCTGGGTTTCATCCCAGCACCGGAAAAAAATAACAAGGAATTTATCTCTTCGTCCAGCAGAAGTGTCCACTTGACCGCTCCCTTCAGCGCAGCTAGGTGTGGGTAGTGCACAGGGTGATCAGGACCACGGCCCTCTCCACTTCTGCGCGCC